TATGGAACTACGAACGGTACAATAAAGTTGCAATTCATCCATATATGTAATGTCCGTTTCAAAATATAATGCGTCCCACTGTTTTTTGAATAACTCAAGAACACAATCAGCTAGAGATCTGCGGTTTTCACCCACCGAAAGAAGAGACAGGGGGGCGTCTTTTTCTCCAATATTGTATCAGACAAAATCATTTTAGAATCAGTCATTTCTGCAAAACATTGCAAAAAATGCATGAAAACGACCCGGCATTCTGAAGAAATTTTCCTTTTGACACGTGATCTAGATAGAGGGACTTCGGATGTATACTTTAGGATATAATTCGAATGACTATTTTACCGCATCCTAACGTTTAGCAAATAAAATCGTCTATTTACTCGCAAGAAAACTATGAATTTCTTTTAATTTTGAAGCAAATTTTTTTACTTTTTGTCAAAATTTCATCTGAATCACAGACCATTTTTTCGATGTTATGCAGAAATGTCTGGTTTCAAAATGATTCCGTCTGATCCGATATTGGAGAAAAAGCGTCCCCCTGTCTCTTCTTTCGATTGGTGAAAACCGCAGGTTTCTAGCTGATTGCGTTCTTGAGTTCTTCAAAAAATAGTGGGACGCATTATATTTTGAAACGGACTTTAGTAATATGTTTTATAGGTAGCGAAGGAAAGACGTCATAACGGAGAATAACGAAAAATAAAACCGTTTATTGAATATGATAAGAACAATTAAACGGATAAGAATATATATAAATGTGTCGAGAAAGCTAATGAAAATTCATTGAACGAAAAACAAAAAATGTGATCAATTACGAACATTAACGTGACCTCTTAGCCATTCACTGTATGCCTGTAATACAAGATTTTCTATCCGACGGAGAGAAGAAATATTTATAGAATAAATGATAAATTTTCTATAATTTCTCAATTTTAATCTTCTAAGTTGGTCATAAGAAATACCCAACACTTACAAATTATTTTTTGTTTTTATTTAGCGAATTATATTTAGTTTATATTCAAATAGGAATTTTTTTCTGTATTAGATAAAAAAAAATGCTCCGAACATTTAACGTGGAGATATTTAAATATTTCCGATTCGACGCAAGTATGTTCACAAACATTTATTTTTAGTATAATTTTATGATTGTGTATCTACCTATTAGCTGAACAGGGCATGATCAAATGTCCTATACAATGATGTGAAACAACGTTTCAGATGAATGATGATGATGATTCATTATCAATTGAATTGAAATATGTAATATGGGATCATGTCAGCGAGGTGCACCCGCTCGAGTTTGAACAATTCATTGAAAAGTATTCAACTAAAATATTGTTTATATCACGAGAACAAAAAGTGAGCTTTTTTTAATGTTTATACTTCATATAGTAAGCCTAAGAAAGAGAATAATATTTGAGCAAAGTATCATAGTATCTATCGATAAACTCATAGAACTTATATAAGGCTTATATTATATTAGAATAGGACTATTTTTTAAAAATGATTTCGTCAATCCAGAACTTCTTTAGGGTTAGATTTTTTTAGTCTGATATTTCTTTCATTTTGATCTCATGATAGCAATATCTGTATTAATTGCGCTGACGATAAATAGTGGATTCACCACATGTAATCAATAATGTAAAACAATCGACATTATATTATATCATGCTTTCAAAATAATGAATATATTGTAATTAAAATTGAAACGGTTGCGTTTATTTTTAATGTATTTGCTAAATAATGAGAGAGAGAAAAATGTCCAACAGTCTACTGCTTTTTCTTTATAAATAATTTGAGATTTTACAATTTATTGTTTTCTTTTTCGTATATTATCATACATAATAATTTAAGATTTCAATACAATAAAAGAAAACTAGAAAAGTTCCTGATTCCATTGAGTCTTCTTGCATTCAAACCTTGAATTATAATATATGACAATGTATTAGAAAGGAAAAAATTGTAATACTTCAAATAATTTATTTAAAAAAGCAGAGAATTATTGGATATCTTTCTTATTATTTGACGAATAGTACATAAAAATACATGAGATAGTTTCTACTTTAATTTGCAATATATTCAGTGTTTATAAAGGATGATATAATATGAGGTTAATTGTCTTATTGATCCTGAGATATAAAATAAATCTAAAATTATCTAAAAAAATCTTCGTAAGTGCAGCATGTATAGAACGTTCCTCTTTTTCTTTCCCTTCTTGTTCATATAAGTGATGACCTCAAGAAAATATAGAACGACTTTTTTTTTGTACGAACACTTTCATTGGTCGAAAATAAAATGAATATTGTTTTCTCCCTTTTTTTCTGAACAATATTCTCGCCTTGTGCTTTCTTTTGCTTGTGATCGGTCACTCGCTTGTGTATCTTCTATATTGATGAAACAAAAAACTGAATGCTATTGCTGTTTCAAACAAAAATAACCTAAATAAAAAAACACTAACTTATAAAAAGATTTTGTACACAAATGGCTATTCAAGAAGAGGATAAGGTCTGTCTAATTTAAGTTTTTTTTCTTTTTTTTTTTTTGTTAAGAATTCGTCCGTTTGTGCGAACGCTTTAGAAAATGAATCTATTTTGATTTATTATAATTTTTTTTGACCTAAATTGAAAAAAAAACTGTGCGACAAAGACTAAAAAGTGGGAGATGTATTTTTCAACAATCGATAGCATTTTCTTTCATCAATTCAAATAAAGATTAAAAATAATGTTGGAAAAAATTGCTCAAAAGAAAAATTAAGTAA